AAAAAGATTATGGGAATTTGTTTAGATTGTTTTAAGGCTGGGTTGGCCGAACCGGCCTCTCCACTGATCCATAGCGTCGATTATCTGATTTGGACTGGTTTCTTAGACGACCGATTCCCCCAAACAATCTAGGTATTCAAATATTATCTTCAATTAAGCTCAAATTTGGGGAAGGTATACTTCTAATATTATGTAAAAAAATATTATAAAATATAAATAAAAGTAAATAAAAATAACCAAAATACTAGAACTTTTTTTAAAATTTACAAGTATTTGGGTCATTTTATTTATTTTAAAATATTTTTTTAATTTTTAAGAATGTGAGATGGCAAAAAAATATGAACATCCCAAATTTAGGCTTAATCTGATGTATAAAAAAGAAAAGAAAATTAAAATATAATACATGCTCTAAAAAAGTAGCACAAACATAAAACATGTAGGACTATTTTTATTTTAGTAGCAAAATGTTATTTTTTGTAAATTTCTTAATAATTTTTAACTGAAAGTATTTATATTTTGGGACATTTTGCCAAAAGTTTTGAGTTTCTTGTATGAAACCTTCGAATTGCTAAAAACATAGAACAAGATGGTTCAAAATTCAAACCACCCAAAATACAAAAAACTTAAGTGTTTAGGTATTTCAAAAGTCTAACTTTCAAATAGCCCAAGTTTCTTATATGAAACCTTCGAATTGCTAAAAACATAGAACAACTACAATTGGTTAGTTCAAAATTCAAACCACCCAAAATACAAAAACTTAAGTGTTTAGGTATTTCAAAAGTCCAACTTTCAAATAGCCCAAACAGTTAGTCTTTTGCGTCTAGAGCAGTTTGGAATTCAAACATTTGAATTGCCGAAACAACTTTTTTTATTTTTTGTTTAGGCCAATTCAAAAGCAATACTTTTGAACTGCCTAAACACTTTCTTTTTTTTCTTGGACGATTTGTAAGTTGGATTTCAAATTCTCTAAACACCCATTTTTTTTTGTGTGTTTCACGTAGTTTGAAAGTTCGGCTCTGTAGTTTGAAAGTTCGGCTCGGGTGTTACATTTTTCATAAAGCTTAGGCCTTATGCCAACTTTTTTGATTCATTATTACTAAGATTTTCCCCAAAAAAGTAGGATGAAATGGTGAACACCTAAGAAGATAAATAAATTAATAATTTTGATTCAGCCACTAACTTGTAGTGATTGGGTGGCAAAAAAGATTAAAGGCCGCCTTCTTGACCAACCAAAAATTAAAACAAAAGACATTGTAAAGGATGTCCAACGTGATCACGGGGTCAGGCTTTCCTATATGCAAGCTTGGCGAGGAAAAGAGGTTGCTAGAGAGATGAAAGATGGATCACATGAACAACAATACCATGAGCTCCCTCTGTATATTGAGAGGATCAGAAGAACCAATCCGAGAATCGAAGTTCGCGTCCATACAAATGAAGGCAGGTTCAAACGACTATTCATTGCCTATCGTCCATGCATTATGGGGTTTGTCAATGGATGTAGGCCACTAATTGGTATTGATGGAACATTCCTAAAAGGAAAGTATCAAGGTATTTTATTGTACGCTCTCACGGTAGATGCAAATACTATGCTCTTCCCATTGGCATTTGTAGTGGTTGAGAAGGAGAATTATCAGAATTGGTATTGGTTCTTAAGTATATTAAGTGAGCTCTTAAATGGGTCCCCTAATTTATCTGCCTTAACCATTATATCATATCGACAAAAAAGCTTGCCAGAAGCAATAGAAAAATGCTTTCCAACATGTTTTCCATTATTTTGCATGCGACATATGAGAGAGAACTTTGAGGGCTTTATGAAGAGGTCAGCAAATACTGAAGTATTGCATATGCTGTTTTGGATGGCTACTCGTAAAACGACCATTGGTGGGTCTGAAAAAATAATGTTTGATATATAGTGTGCCGATCTAGAAGCATATGATTGAATTAAGAATATTCCACTCAAATTTTGAGCAGATGCCTATTTTCCAGGGTCTAGATACAGCTATCTTACATCAAACATGGCCGAGTCTTTCAATGCTTGGATTTTATCGGCTCGAGAGAAGCCGATCATTACAATGTATGAAGAAATAATGATACAGTTGATGACCAGGTTTGAAGAGAAGAGAGAATTAGGTAATACTTGAAGTAGCATGTTCGTACCGAAGGCCTAAGAATTACTTGACACGCGAAAGATGAAAGCTCGATTTTTGCAAAAAGTTGTATCCGCAATGGACACGCTTTTTGAGATCCACTATCTTGGGATGAAGTACGTTGTCGATTTAATGCAATGGACATGCAGTTGTAGAAAATGACAACTCAGTGGCATTCCGTGTGCCCATGCTATTGCGGCCATTAACCATATGCATATGGATCCTACTGTGTACTGTCTTAAGCATTTTACAGTGGAATACTTTAGAAGGACATTTGAAATTCCCTTTGCACCTGTCTTGGATGATATTGAGTTGACAGGCATTTACAACCGGACAGTGTTGCCACCAAGGACTACACTCCTTCCTGGTAGGCAAAAAAAGCAACGAAAAATATCTGAGACAGAGTATCCGATCACCAGGCCTTTGAAGTGCAAACGATGCGGCGCAAATGGTCATAATAGGAGGACATGTAGATAACCGATAGAGTGAACTTGATGTTAATATTGTATTCTTGTATGGAATTATGATTTTCATGATTTTCATGAATTGAGTGAATATTGTGTTTTTGTTGTCAAATTTGTGTCAGTGCAATCCGAATTCTTTGTTGTTATAAATATTCTAATGTATGAGTTTGCCAATCTTTGTGTCGAGATAGATGATTTCAATATTGAAAATCTTTGTGATAGCCTTAAAATAAGTAAAATGAAATTCATATCCTTACATCCAGAAATGAGTTATTCTCATGTCCATGCATCTAGAAATGATGTCCATGATCAATGTGATGTCTAAACAATTTCGGATGTTCAACATTCAAAATTGACATATTTTCGGATTTTCAACATCCGAGAATGGTACTGTGAAAATTCAGGAAGGTCCTGGATTTTCATAATGAGTTTTCGGATGTTCAACATCTGAAAAAATAATATTTTCGGATGTTGAACATCCGAAAATATGATGTTGAACATAATATTTTCGGATGTTGAACGTACAAAAACTCACTGTGTTCCTAGATTTTCACAGTGAGTTTTCGGATGTTCAACATCTGAAAACGTATATTTTCGGATGTTGAACATCCGAAAACGCACTGTGAAAATCCAGGAAGCTCTTGGATATTCACAGTGAGTTTTCGGATGTTCAACATCTGAAAACTTATTGTGAAAACCCAAGTAAGGTTCCGGATGT